GTCAGACTTGGTGGAAGCCTCATTGACATAATTTTATACGAACGATTTATATTGGTCCAGTCTTGGTAATCAAGATTTTTCCTAATCGAACGTCTCATGATCGACTTTGGGTCCTCCCTTAACTGCTGAATAGGAACCAAGTTTTCCCCAAGTCTGAGAACCAGTCTTCGAAGCTTCAGGGAGAAGACTAGACTGAATACCTTTTTTTTCCTCGCAGGGTTTATCGCAAAGTCGTGATAGAATGGATACAATTAATGCCACATTGTTATGGAATCAATTATTCCAATATTATTGGTGCAGGGTCACATCGGGCTCACATCGCCCAATTATTGGACCACTTGGGCATTCCCAATATCGCATTGTCATGGACGAACATTGGACCTATATCGCATTTCTATATTGTACCCAAGTATTGCCCCAATTTAGCGGTCCAATATTGGGTCAAGATGGAGTACCAATCCCAAGCTAAAGCCAAACATCAATAAGGGACCATGATCGGGCCAATATTGTGCGCTACAGAGAAAAAAACACACTCGACTTAAGTAGCTTAGTGGAATCACTCACAAAGGTGCATTTTGGATGAGAAACCTACACTATAATTCGGAAAATACTAATTTATTTCATAACCAGTACTCCAGATGAAGGAAAGCGAATTATCACTTCCTGAGGGACGGTCCAAAAAGTCCAATCAGCATGGCTAATCGGTATTCTACTACATTGGTTAAGGCAAAAAAAAAACCAACAACCTCTAATCATTAGCAGATCCAAGAGTCGAATTTCCTATGGCCATGTCCACTATACAGGGTGGGGCGAAAGTCAGGGAACAGGAATTTTGGGGGAATTTAATTTTCCTTTCTGATTGACCTTTCACTAACGCCCATGGTTCTCAGCATCTCTCCTGTTGATTTGTTGTGGCTGTACAGACACGGGTCAGGGTCAGAAGTGCAGTTTGACCGGCTCCTCTGTTGCACCAATTTTTTTTGCATCGCGATCACTGTCGATTGCCTGGAATTTTGCTATCGAATCCGAAATGCAGTGGATCGACAGTCTTGGTCTATTTAGGTGTCTTTCATTGCAATCATACTAGCCAGCCGTCCACTGTTATCTGATGCTGCGTAAAAATCATCACCAACCCCACTCATTTTTCGGTTTAATACACCATTGATAAATTATTTCAAAAACCACTTCCAAATGTCCCGTCAAATCATGGAAAACTTGTGCAAGCACGGAGGTCACCAATGTGAACAGCAATGGAAATGACCCATTATCACATAAATTTCCATAATTGTTCCAAGTGAATAACGGTCGATCATTTGCAGCGAATTTCAGTGGACGCGGCGGAAGCGCACTTCACCGGACTTCAATCAATCTGTATGCCAAATTGGTGAAAAATAGGTATGGAAATGTGCTGCCATGAAGAAGTCGCTTCGAAAAATAAATTACCTGGAAATTCCTATGTTCCCTGACTTTTGCCCCACCCTGCATAAAAAAAATTTGCATGAATTAAAAAATCACATAAATTTATTTTGATTGAAACGAATCTCCCAAGTTTTACTGCGGATGAAAATGAAAAAGACGATAAGAACGGTGACGGTGGGAACTATGGAAGCGCTCCCTATGACCATCTGAATCTACCACTGCTTTTACCCTTTTTGGGAGCGGTTTATGCCGCCGGACAGCTATTCAGAGCGAGTTTCCGCGGCTCACCTGCGCTGCGCTGCGGACGCTGGAGTACCGAATAAACAAATCATTACGCTACATCGGAACAAGAGAAAACAAAACTAAAAAAATTAGTAACCTTTCAACTGTGGTATTAGCGAAAGCACGCCGCAGCTGTTCCCCATACCATATCGCGCACAGGTTACTCGGGCAAGGTCGAATTTCGAAATCCTTACATAGCACGATGCTCCACAGCGGCTTTGACGCACGCGAACCCTGTGTGGCACGTTGCTTTTGAATTCACTTCCATTGCACAAGAAGTATCCCCTTCACAGACTCAACAGCTACGTTGTTCCTTTCCTGTGTCCACTGGCTTTGCATTAGAGAAAAAAACACTCTCTCCACATTTGCATTGTGAGAAGGAATAGCAAAGAAAAAATCTGCTATCTTTAACATGTCTGAGAGAGAGAGTCGACATTTTTTTAGTTGTTGATGTACTTCACCCGTTTTTGGTGCGCTAGTAGAAAGTTGAAATTTTTTTTTAGTTTTGGGATGAGAAGTTCATTCATCACCTGGTGTATCGCACAAACTTAACTGGCTGTTCTGCCCGTTCCCCAAAGCATTAGGAGGTGGGATTTAATGAAAATTTTTGTTCCAACAGGATGGAGAGACTGCCCATACTGCCCGCACAATAAAGGAGTTGATAAAAAAAAATTGCTTCTGAACCGTCTCTTTTCAATATTTGGAGATTTTATGGCCGGCCAGAAGCTCTGACTTTACAGCCTCAATTTTTTTTTCCATAAGGCACTCTAAAGTCATGCATTTACAAGAACAGACCAGGGTCCTGTAAAGAATTAAGCCGAAACATCGAACTTGAAATAGCCAAAATTACCATAGACATGATTCACAGTGATGGGCAACAAACAGTGACACGTGCTTGCCAGTACATACCAAGAGGCGGACAATTACGCATTATTTTTTACTAGTTAAACCATTTATAAACTATATGTGAATATTATCTCTTTAAAACTCATCAGTATGTAGTATACTATTAAGTAGAAAGTATTTAAATTACTATTTAAAAAAATATGCAAATCACAGAGCTTTTATTTGTCAGGTATTTCTTGGCCACAATGTGCATGAATTTAAACAGCTTCAAGTGCAACAACACGTCCACTGCCGATGACGCACATACGCGTCAAAGGCTGGTTTTGAGGAGAGCCGATGAAGTACCTAAGCATTATCGGCGATTTGCTGTTTCCATATCTCCGTTTCTTAAGGGGGATGGCGTGCAAGGGGCTCGGCATTGGCAAATAGCATAAACCATGCGAATCTAGGTGGCGCTCTAGTTTCTGCGTAGCATCATATGTGAAGTATCTGACTCCGTTCACTAAGAACTTGAAATGGCTGATGAAAACATCGATGTAGCTGTGGGAGTTGGAGATGTGAAACCTGCTGACTCTCACCACGGAATGCAAAGATGAGATGGTGACCATGAAGTCTCTAGGAGACTCCAAATGGAGGGAATAGGAAGCAGGAAACGTTACGGACGCGTCGTCACACCAATGTTGCCAGGCCGAAAATATTCTGAATATTGGTGACCGGAGGATGAATCCCGGACGAATTCAATACTTCTCAAAAATTCGCCCGGAAGGAATTGTGAAGGCCAAAAAAGAGGACATGTCTGGGAAAAACCGGACGTATGGTAACCTAATTGCGGGTGCTCGTCGACAGTCGCCCCTCCCCCTGGGAAGTTGGCGCCCATGTACTCCCTATAGACCACTGACGGTTTTTATGGAAGCGATTCGGCACTGGACGAATTTGACGTCGGATGATTTCATCATATGTGTTTTCGAGAAATGAAATTTCTCAACTTTTGACAATTGGTCTTACATAACTTGACGCAGAGATTCTGTTCTACGTGATCGAGAGCAAATTACTGCCAATTAAATTTCCCCCCCCCCCCTATTTGCTTACGGTCCTGCGTACTTTCGACGTTGCCTGATTTGACACGACGAAATTCGATGCTACGTACACATCTCCTCATGAAGAAGTACGTTGAAGTTGAATTTAAAAAAAGGGATCAGTTATGGTGCTTTTCTGGAAATTAATTGAAAATAGGCCTTCTGAGGGGTTAGGGAAGTAAAGGACAAGAGATACGGTATAGGAGCTGAGGATTAAAGAAAAATAAAAATGTCCCTCCCCCAGCTAAAACTAAAAAAGTTGGAAATGCTACAGCTATTTGGAGTCCAATGCCTGAAAGTAAGGGAGTTTCCAGCAGCCACTGCTGTTACTAGAAATCCCTCCATTGATTCAGTATGGTTAAATCATTCCTGTTCTTCCAAGAACATATTCTAGAAGTCCCCCATTCCTTAACAATTTTCTTCACCAAGACATGCCATAGCTAAAGTAGACTTCAAATTTAGGATCTGGGTAACAAAAACTGTCCGCCCAAATACACTATCCCCTCACTATTGTCATTTGTGATGGATGTCAAAAGCAAGCAGATGCCTTGTGAACCAGCACGTGACCAAGACCTCTCTCCATCACTTAACATGTGCACAGGCCCAGGTTAGGCTATTGTAACAATCGATCCCTCAGGAGCCTGGTTCATTAAACATGGCAGATTTACAGTACTATTTACCACCAAGGATCTCTTGAACACCAAGAGTTATAAGCCAAAAGCAATGGGAAAAGCCATATTAAAGAAAACCACCTTCCCACCAGACCATTTTTTCATTGTATTTCATCAATTTCAGAAGACATGCAATACTTATAATCAATTTATTCTGTCCTCTCCTTCCAATTCATGGATGCCTCCATGAAAATGGAAAAGGAGTACAAAATACATCGAAAAACAGTTTTAATTGGTCCCAGTAATGAAATCCTGTGTGTTGATGTCTGTTTTCCTCATTAAATCCTTAAATGATGCCTTCAATGAAGATAGAAGTAAAACTGGTGACAGCACAGTAGAGGATGCTGGAACACTTCTTTCTCATCCCAGCAGCAAGAAGACAAACAAGACCATTGCTGCAAGGAACACCTCCAGCCCAAGTGCTAATTTCGTAGAATATTCCAAATATTCTTCAGCTCTCAATTTTTGAAGGTGAGGCCAATCCCTTCCACTAACAATTGATGATAAATGGAGAAGCTATAGAGTTGCTTCAAGCGCAACAAGTCCATTCCTTCTCCCCTTCTTCTACTACTTCCACCTCTTCCTGTTCTGCACTGTGGTTTGTTAAAGAAGATCAAGGTCTTATGCAAGTCAGTCAAGAGGAGTGAACGTTTCTTCTTCTCTTGTTCCAAAAATATCACAGGAAGCCTCGTTATGTAGGCTGAGAGAGGGAGAAAATTGTCACAGTGGGCAACATTGAATGGTACTTGGCAACAGAATCTTTTCACAGTTGAAAAAGTGTCTTCAGCATTCACTTATCGATGTGCATAAAAATGCCATTCAGGATAGTCATTGAGCTGGTCCTCTGACTGCATACTGCATTTGATCCTTAAGATCATCCAATTGCTGCATGAGGGTACTCATGAAAGCCTCCCACTGAAACACAAAGTGGTAAAAATCAACAATAAGAAAATTTTTTAGCTCTACTTCAATGTTTTCAGATAACCAAGTCAATTATAAAAACTAACCTTTTTCTCAAGACTGGATTTCTTTGCCTCAAAGTTATCGTGAATTTTCAATTGCAGTTCCTTAGCATTCTGAATTTCACTAAGACAATCCTGTAACTGCTGTTCCAAAGCATTCAACTCCTCCTTGAGTATCTTCCATTCCTTCATATTTTCCTCCACCAACCTTGAATTAAATAGCATTATATGTAATACATCACAGGAGAAGAAGCTTTGAGCATATTGACAAATTAAATATGGCTCACTTGGAGGTCTGGACCCAATCTTGCTTCTTTCCCTCTTGAGTTTTCATATGCTGTCTCTTGCTAGAGTCTATCTGTTCTGCCAGAAGCTTCACCTCTTGTTTCTTCACATCTTTCAACTCCATCTTCTTAGATAGGTCTATTCTAAATCGTCCTGTCTTCTCCTCTAGTTCTTCCATATCATCTTGCACTTGTCTGCTCATTGGCAAATAGCATTTGTTGTAATTTAAACTAGCAATTCAAAATTAAAATGCAAATGAAGTCAGGATAACATACCTTAGTGAAGTTTGCTGCAAATGGATTTCCTGCATCATGCGCATGACTCGATCTTTCAGGCTGACCAAGCTCTCACAGTTCTTATAGTCTTTCTTCAAATTTGTGCTTTTCTCTAAGCCATATGCATATTCCCTCTCCTTTTCCTGTAATCAATAGCCATATATGTCAATCTAATTAGCAGTATAGCTACATCATCTTATGTGACATCTCTCATGTGAGATAAACACCATGGATGACTAACTTATCATCAAGCTTTATTACCCAAGATGAAAATAGCATATTGCTTCCATTTCATCTACTTCAAGACAGTCCGAAATACAGACAAATGCAATTAATTGCCCCAAAGGCATGGTTCTGAACAAGCCCTTGCGCTGACTTTCATTGAATTCATGAAGATGATGCATGACAGCATTATGCATTCTTCCGTTTCTATTAGCCATGAAAATCATCATATCACTTCCCTTTATATCCACATACTGTACATAATGAAAAAATAATAACTTTAAAGTTGAAATTTGGCATCCATTGGCAGGAGTATAGTTTGATAGTTTTACACATTAATTTTCTTTTTCCTCCTGAAAGCAGAAAGACAATTACTTCACTCATAACTGGGTTTTCCAATAGCTTAATATTAACTCACCAAGACTTCATTCTCAGCAGCCAAAACACTCTTCATGAGCTCATTTGGTGAGCGAATGATACGGCTCTCCAAATCCTTCCCTTCCTTTTCCACCTGTTCCAATTGCACAGAAAAATTTTGTGTGACTTTTCATTTAGGATTCACTTTGACATTACTTCTCCAGTTGAAGCTAATGTGTAATGTCATGATGAATTGGAATGGCTACCAGGTCTACATGGACTTGATCAAATCTCAGGATTTTGAAGGAAAATCAAACTGAATTTAGCCAATAACATTAATAATAAATATAACAATAATAACAATAATAAATTTTCTGCTTTCTTGATTCTTTACCTGGTTAACAGTTTCAGAAGCAGATAATAATTCATTGGTGAGAGATTCAAGCTCCTCTCTGAGTTCAGCTGCTCTACTCTTCATATCTTCCTTCCTGCGTTCAAGGGTTTCCATTCTCTCCATTTTCTTTGTCTGCTCCCCTTGTAACTGCAAATATTTTTTAAATGAAAATAAGAGGCTGGGGCATAATAGAATATATAGAGTAGGCACTTGTCTCAGTTATAATAATGGTAAATGGTAACAAATAGTAGGACTTACTCCCTCAAGAGTGTAGTCAAACTGAGAGCAGGCTACAGTGAGTTCATTCATCTCTTCTTTGAGCTTAGATAGATCTCTTTGCTGCTCCTTGGCTTTCTCCACTTCCAAGAGAACCTTTTGTTCCCGTTCTAAGAACCTCTTTTGCATTTCCAAAAAGTAGCCCAAGAAGTTAAGGAGTCCTGACAAGATACGACGGAAGTACTGCTTCCCTGTGTTTACATAAGATATATTCTCTCAACAGACCAAGGCTAATTCTCAAAAGTCCAACAATCACAATGATGAGCCAAATCTCACGTGGACGGATGACATCCTCCAATCGAAAGTCAGAGACAAGGCAAGCCTCCATGATTGGTTTCATCACTGAGAACAAAATCACATCAGGCATTGTCTCATAGAACATCTCTGGGTACTCCATGCTGGTCAAGACTTGGCCTGGCATCTGAAGAAAAAGTACATTATTGTTACACTAATGGTAAACTCAAAACTCCAAAACAAGATATCCCATTCATTAAAAAACAAATTTATTACTAAATTTAGGCCTACCAGAGTTTTCTACTAGTGCTCTCCAAAGAAAACAAGAAAATATCTGGCAGGATGGATATTTAGAGATTGATGCCAATATCTGGCCAGTGTGTTGAATAAAAAATCAGCAGTCCTGAATATAAGTCAGCCTTAGGCACTCACCAACAGACAACAATTGTGAACTTTGTAGAATTAGGTCTAGCCTTCATACTTCAAAGCTTCAAGCTGACTGATTTTTATCAGGAACCTCATTTCTTTTTCAGAGAAAAAAAAAGCTTTCCTTAAAATCTAAGCAGAAGTGACAATGGCAAATGTACACTGGTGCATTACGCAATGACTTTGACATTTGTCTCTGTAGGAATACCAGACATTCTCTCATTCTGGAGAGAATTTGTTAGCAATGTCCCATAAAGTCAGAGTCTCTGATTCAATGATGTCAATTCATCTTTGAGTAACAAATTATGCCTAATGAAATTAAAAATAAGTCAGAGATTCTCAGAGGCAAGTAGAATCAATTATTTCAACAGCTAGATGTAATATAATGATTAATATCCAGTTTTGTTTTGGTTTCAGTTTTTTTTTAAAGCCCAAATTTGAATTCATTTGAACTCAAATTCAGTTTCAGTTTATTTCCTGATTGGAGAGACTGGTCAACTGGCCTAGAAATGTTGTTCCTCCTCAGTCAATAAAACATCTGCTACTGGAGATAAACTGAAACTGGACTTGAGTTGGAGATTGAAACAGTAATTCAACCATCTAGCCTGTATTTCACAGTACATGATCATGCTAGCCAATGCTGAGCCATAGGCAACTAAGATCATTTTTCCACAGAACCAATAAAATCTGAAATCATAAGGATGTCTACTGTTTGAGTTCAGGGATCTACAAAAAGAAAGTCAAGAGGTTACTCTGCTGGTGTCATGGCAACATATGAATTGCACTGTTTATGAATCCATGTATGGAATATCTGAAAATTTAAACATTCATATATTTTCTTGAATAGAAGCTGAATGTGAGATAATAAGCAGAAACTTTTTCCTTCTTTCCTTGCTTTGACAATTAAAGAGTTCATAGTTTGTTCTAAAAGTGGAGGTTGCCAACTTCTTGTTTTGCCTTGTAGCATCCTTGAGGTGGTTTTGGCCTAACTGTAAAGTGAGTTGGCAAAGGACAGGGGTGTCTAAAGTGGATGTTCCTATGAGTACTCTGAATGCTGCATGGGGACTGTGAACCACACAGGGGTGCCCAGAGTCAGGTCTGTAGGCCCCATGCAGCATTCAGATAGCTTATACATATTCATTGTGGGCACCCCTGTTGTAGATGCTTTTTCATTTCATCAAGCAGGGCCTGAAAAATATTCTGGCAATACACAGAAATGTCTGTTGAAGTCTTGACATGACATATGTAAAGCTTTCTGTTGTAACCTATCTGCTGTCCTGTTAAATTTTTTTTTACGAATTCCCCAGGCAGCAATGTCATATGCAATGTCCAATAGGACAAAAGGATGATACAATGCAAAATGGTAATTGGTTGGATTAAGACTTTTCAGATGGTAAAGAATTCTACAGTGCTTATTGAATGAATTCATCCCCCCTGCAGTGGGCAGTGGCACTGATGGCTGTGAGAAGAGAGTGACACCTGTTTTTCATCCCATAAACAGCTAAACTAATCACATTTGTGATCCCAGCAAGGTACCCAACTACCATAGACCAGAATGATACCTTGAAGGAGCTTTGCAAACTTGACATAATACAGCTGATCAGAATGAGAAGGAACCAATATTCCTTTAAAAAGTTCGAGTGAAGTGAACCTTGAGGAATGTCAGAGCACCTAAGTAAAAATGATATAGTCACCCTGTCATCGACGCAATCACGAAATCAGTCATATATATAATTCTGAAGCATTTTTATTTTTACCTTATAATTTTATCATACATGAAAAGATACCTGGAAAAAATTCACATTTCTCAATATTCCGGAAATCCGAAGATGAGTTAAACGAAATTTTAATTGTTAACTTTCTGAATCCTCCTCCATAGTCTTGGTTTTCACGGAAGCTTTCCTTTCCTTTCTAGGAAAACCTCATATGGCAGGCAATCTATGTTCGATGTACTTTTTACAAATAAGAAGAAATGGACTAGAATCCAGTTGATGCCTAAGTTAATGAATAAAATTGATCAAATGTAAAATACAAGAAATTTGAGTATAGAATGTAATTTTTCCCTCCTCTGAGTCTAAATAATG